TGTTTTACTTATTGTTTTTCTTGACATGGAACTAAAAGAAATCAGTTTCCCAATACCATATTCAATATACAAGCAGCAACTTAATGGTACTGATAAAAAAAAAAAAAAAAAAAAAAAAAAAAAAAAAAAAAAAATTGAACTTGGATACAAAGAAAAGATTTTAAAAATTAGAAACAAGAAATTTATGTTCAAAAAATTATTTTGTTATTAAATAGCAAGGAAATACATTTTCTTTATGCATGAAAATCTAAAACAAAAAAGATGTCATTCTTACTATTTTCAAAACTCCCTTTTTTTTTTTCCTTCTTGTAGGTTAAGGATGTAATGCCGAGATTATTCTAACATATACTTCTGCATCTTTTTATAGATGTAATCTAGTTTGGCAATAACATTTCTTCATAAAGATACACATTCAGTCAAAGTGAGAACAATGAGTTTATTATTTTATTTTGATACTTGCTGGTCAGAAATTAATCTTCATCACATTCTCTATTCTACTCTGCATATTAAAAAAGAAAAAAAAAAAAAAAAAAAAAGAAGACATTATGGTTAATTTATAATTGCACAGTACAAAGTGTAAATATAAATAAATAAATAAATATGTCAATTGTTCTTATTGAAACCAGAACCCTTCCAGATGTATCAAATTTTAGAATAAGGAGGAATCAAAGAAGAGCACATAAAAATTCTCAATCGACTACCCAACATCAAATTTTGGAGGAAGTTCAGTGTGTGTGTGTGTGTGTAATATTCTTTAAACTTTGCTACATTTATAAAGGAAGAGTGCATTTACAGATATAAATATTGTGTAGGTATCAAAATGACATGGTGATCCTTATGTCTGCAATGTCACTCTCTCATACACACACAAAGTTAAAAGCAGTCCTCATAATAAATGAATATATGAATGGCTGACATTACTTTTTTTTTTTTTGAACTGTAGAAAGAAGTGTTTAATGTGGGGATATAGATGTGGTTTTTCGTTACCCAAAAATCAATAACACAACTACGGATGAAATAAAAACTTTAGAGAGAAAGAAAAAATTATCAAAACTCTATTATTGGGAGGATTCAACCTACTTGTATGTACTCTAAATAAACATTTATGGAAGCAGATGCTAGATGTGACCTTAGCTTAAAATTTAACAAAAACAACAAAACACGGTATGATAGGTGTAGGATTCATAGAAAAAGATGCGATAATCATGGCATTTCAAAATATCAAAGTTAAAGATCATTTACGGAAGGTGGGAATTATTTATTTTTTGTTTCTTATCAACAACAGTTATACGTTCGAATTTCTGGTGTTCGTGAAGTAGTCAATCCTCCACCCGAAACAGATTGGTCAGTGACCTTGATTTTTAGAATTTTAAAAAACGGAGGTCAATTGTAAATTGGGATGGTTCGAAATTAACGAGATGACAGCAAACAATTTGACTAGACTAGAGACATTATTTGTAATAACGTATCAGTTGAGCTAGTTAAAGAAAACTAGACATTTAAAATGATTTTTTTCTTTTTAAACCATCTAGCTGTCGGAAAGAGAAAAAACAAAACAAACAAAAAAAAAACGATTTCATTTTTATCTTTTCAAATGTTAGTTAAAAAGGGACGAGTGAGAGAAATTCACTAGCTGAAATTAAAAAAAAACAAAAAATAAAAACGCTTGGATACCGTCATGAGAACAAATTCTTTACCAATCCAATTCAACAAGAAAAGATCAAGTTCGATCCCATGGAGCGTGCTTCTTGAGGTTATTTTGAGCGACTTTCTAGGATTAAAAAAAAAAAAAAAAGAAAAAGAAAAAAGCAATTACTTTCTCTCTATTTTTTTTTAGGGTACTTGCTGCCCAGTAATTAAAATATGGTAAACTCCGATGTTTGGGCATTGAAGAATGCTAAAAAAAAAAAAAAATTAACATTCAACAACCATACAAATATTTTATTTTTCAATTCTGACCAGGAAATGTTTTTTTTTTTTTTTTTTTACTGTTTTATTTGAAGTATTTTCGCGTTTGACGAAAAAGCGATAAATGAGAAAAAATGTTATTTTATTTTTATCTTATCGTCATAACCTTTGTACCTTTTGTTAAGAAATAGTTGAAAAAAATCTTTATTTTATAAAAATTATTTACGTCCAATTTATTTATAGGGCCAAGTGTTTGAAAAGAAAAGACTATTTTTGTAAGAAAACTGAGGAAATGATCTTTAAAATTTTACCAAACTCACTTTAGTTAAAATTTTAGGAAATCAAGAAAATTTACAAATTAAAATTTCAAACAAGATAATTTAAATTATTATAAAGGCACACCGTGTTTGTTTATTTTTATGAAGTTAAAACATTTCTTCCAGACTGTCAGCCACATTGGGTTCAATTTTGGAGGAGGTGTATACCAAAGTAACACGACAAAAAAAAGATCTCTACACAAAACTACACCCCCCACCGTGTATGCAATAGGTGTCGTCATTTGAGTCATTGAGTGTTTACTTTTTTTTTCTTAGTTAGTACAATACTGGTACCTGTACCAGGAGCCGAATTACTAGAAAGGAAAAATATTCTTTAAGAGAGACTTGTTTAAACAACAACAAAAAAAAAAAAATCAAATTGCACATTGGGAGAGGAACCGCGGAAAGAACTTGATAGCTAGAATCCTACTAAGAAAATTGAGTATATGAAAGAGAATTCCAGTTGAGTTGAGTATATAAAAAAAGTTTCGATGTCAAACATCGAAAATAAACATTTGAGGTTGAATATTAAATTTCCTTTTTCTTCAATGACAAAACGTTAAAATTTACCATAATCCTCGAACAGGCCAGTAATTTTATTTTTAATAAGATAATTTATTTCAAACAGAACAAAACAAGGCAATACCATAACTTAGAATCACATTGACTGACGATCAATATTCAATATGTATGTCATGAGCAAGTTTGTATACATTCTTTAGCTTTCATTCAATTATTAAAGCTCAAATGAAAGCTTTTTCATTTTTTTAACGTTTTAAAACAAACCTTCTTAAAGGTATCGCGATTTTAGGTACCTCATTACTTAGTTTCAATATGAAACTAAAACAGAAGTATGAACGTTTTAAAACTAAACAAAACAGATGGATAGACTGTTTCTTCGATCAAGTCATCGATTACACAAGAAGCAAAACATTTCATCAAATCAAAGAAACGGAATAACAATGAACTTTGAACTGTAATATGTAGAGGAATATTTAAAAATAGATAATTAAACTAAAAGATGATGAAGCCGTGATAAAAGGAAGATAAAAACTAAAAAGTAATTGATGGCCATTCATCTCTATTTATTTATTAAGTTTAGCTTTTTTTTGTCTGACATCAGGTAAAATGTCAATGTAATTGTTAGTGTAGCTCAAGTGTTAGAAAGGAGATCTAAATATTTAGAGAAGGTTTGAGCTAGGAATGACATTTATCATTTTTACTAAGAATTAAATTATTTTAAACTGGAAGTGGAGTTCCTTCTGAACAGTCAATTTTCCTGGTTTTATAAACAAATATTTTCCAAGTTTATAGTAAAATCTTTAAATAACCCCCCAAATAGTTAGTAGTTAGAGAGTTTTTAAAGAGTAAAATAAAAAAAAAGGAAACTTACGAGAGGAAGATATTTTTAATAATTTATATTTCTTTTAATGATGAGATGTTAGTTCAAATCACTCAACCTGCAATATTTTTATTTTTCCTTTGTTCATCCTGAACAGTCTTAGAATCTTCCCAAGGCCTTGGTCCTCGGATATTTTCCCAATTATCTAGATTACTTTTTTTTAATTCTTCATAAACAGTCTCTATAGTAACTTTTTCCTTTTTTGCCTTTACACCAGTTTCTTTTTCCAGTTCTTCAGGAGTTATCATCATAGATTTTCGAATTGTGTACCTTATATGAGCGAATTCCTTCAAACAGAACGAACCTCCAACAACCATAGTGATAAAAGGGAGACCAAACCGAAAAAACCGGCCTTTGGTAAATTTTTTCACCGATTCCATGTGTACCGCCATGAGCTAAAATATAAAACTTCCGGTTCCGCTATCCTCCGCAACGAATACGAAACTCTTTAACGCAAAGTCAAATTTGTAAATTGCAAAGAAAAAAAATCGACGGCAATAAAAAATATTAACATAATTTCCACTATTACGTAAGCAGCAATAGAGTTGATGTAAACCAAAAATTTTACTCGAATAAAACGTTCACGAATAAATTAAAAAAAAAAAACTAAAAAATAAAAGGGAGGTAATTCATACATTTTATTAAATGTATATTGTTGGATCAAAAATATTTTCTTTTCCAGATTGTCAAATATTTTTTAAATGTTGACTTTGATCTGATTTATTAACGTATTAGCAATAATGTTAACTATCTATTAATAAGAAAGGTCCATTAACAATTGAATTTTTATCAATCAATATTTTTTAAATTTAGTTGGAAATTTGGATGAACTTTCGAAATAATACAAAACAAATATATTAAATAATATCCTTTTTAACCATGTTAATGACTGGGTCTGATAAACACAAGACATTTATTTATATAGTCAATGGTTAGAAACTATGAAAAACATTAAAGTAAACTCATTAAAATGTATTCAGTCATTAGTAAGAAAAGTTTTAAGAATTTTTAGTCAAATTTGTCAAGCTGATTTTAACGACTACAAAAAGTAAAAATTAGCAATAGACAATTTCGTAGTGAGATTGATATTAAAATGATTCATAATACTTTTATATTAGTTGATTCAATATTTTTGTCCTTTAAAATTGTTAACTGAAAGAAATCTACTGACATTAATAAATCAATTCTCAAGAATTGAAAGTAAAAAAAAAGTTTAGAACAGGATTACCTCCCCTTGATGACAAAAAAAAAATGTGAATATTTTCCACTCTTTGGACGCCATTTTGTCTATTTCTATTTAAAAAGACGTTTTCCATTGTTAAATCCATAATTGAACAATTTTATTTACATTATTTTAACCATTAGCCCCTCCGATGGGCGACAACCAGAAGAATGCTTCGGCTAACACGCCGAATGAGGAGGTAAGTGATTACTTGCTGTCTCAGTTATATGTATATATATATATATATATATCATATAGACAAGAAGAGATTATTTGGCCACCACGCTCACACGGGTCGCCACGAAAATAAATATTTTATTAACCTTAAAAAAATTTAATAAATAAAAATAAAAACAATGAAAAAAAAGAACCCTTAAACCAAAATATTTTTCAGTTGATTTGGAAATATTGAGGTTTATCTTTGATAATTATTGATTATCTTATTTTTATTTTCCTTTTATGGGGGTTGTTTTTTTTTAGTACTTTTTAAAATGCATTGTTTTTTATTTTATACTCCGATGGAATATGATTGAAAAATGAAAATAACGTTTTTAATTTTTATACCTTTTTATTTTATATCATCTCACCTTGTGCATTATTTTGTTTGATTTTTAACTTATTTTTTAAAATCGAAATTTACTTTTTTTAGCATCTTCGTTTCTTTTTAAAAAATATTTTTATTCACAAAAATGCAAACATTGATTAATCTCCATCTTTTCTGTAGTCCCGTCTTTATTGACTTGACTTTATTGGATCCTTTAAATTAAATATTATAAATTTAATAAATTATTTTTATTATTGTTTACAAATCCTTCCTGGTCTTAAATTCAACCATTTTCCGTGTTTAAAAAAGGCTATCATATCGAATACTTAGTTTTGTTTTAAAAATTACAGAAAAAGAAAAGAAAAGAAATATGATTTGTTTCTTTCTTTCCATTGCAAATTGGGTTCTGTTATCAATTAACCAGGCGAAACTGGTTCTCTCAAAATGGCAAATGCTTCCATTGCATCCAAACCATGGAATTTAAAATTGATTACTGTTAGTTTTCGATAAAATTGCAAAAATATTCACAATAATTGGTCGATCGATATCATTAATAATAAATTGTTTACAGCAATTGATTTTAAACATCGTTAAAAGCAAAATACTTAAATTTTATTTGAGTTTATTCGTCCTATTTAATGTTACACGTGAAATTATTGTTTCATTTCGTTTATTTACAACATGAACTGCTTGTGCTGATTATTATTATTATAACTATCAATTTGCATTTTTGTTTGTTAGGTTTGATGTTTTAAATATAAAACTAATAAATAACAATAATCAATAATGGCTTTTTTACACTTTATAAGGGAATGTTTGTTTTACGCATTGGTTGTCTTGCAATTTTGATGCACGATCATAATAATGTGCAACTAATATGTCATCATTGTTACAAATAAAAGGGTTTGAAATGCACGTCATGTCGACACACCACAAAACAGCATTGCAATATTTCAGTCTTATACCTCTTTGCATGTAACTGCATCTCCTACTAAGATAAATTGAATATCATCATTCATTAAGCCCCTATCGACAAAAAAATAATATATATTTCTATTTCCCTCCATGTGATATATTTTGTTCATCGACTGCTTTAATATTCAAGGAACAACAATAATGTTATATGATGCATGCCTTGCTACTACTTGTACTATGTATGCACACAATACACATTTCATGCCAGTGCATTCATTTCTGTATCTTAAAAATGCAGATTATATAAATTTAGTCATTTTCAATTAAAATACATTTCCTATGAGTTATGGTAAAGATGACTTTTTACTCTACTAATTTTGGATCTGAAGTAACAGCAACAAAAGTACTTAATTTTTTTATGGCCAAGTGGAAAGACGGCGGGTTGAACAAGCGTAACAGGATAGTTCTAAAATGCTAACAGTAGCAGGCAAGATGTAAGAGATGACCCCGCTTAGAGAGGTTTAAAACATTTTCTTTAAAAGATTTCATTGATTAGTTAGTTTCTTGTTGGGTGTCAAAAAGAGTGGACGGAGAATGATCTGAAGCATTGATTCAATAAGGACCCCTTATTTATTTTTTTTCTTATCAACATTCTTAAACTTAAATGGATTCTGTTTCTAATTTTTCTGTTGTTAAGTAATGGCCATTGCAACATGTAGTTGTGTAATATTCCACAAATATTCTTACTAGTGTTGAGTAAAGGACCTGCAGCCCACTAAAGAATTAGCAGATTCAATTGCACATCCATATCACCTTCATTTAAGAAATTTCAATTTCTACAGATGAATCAATTGAAATTATTAATTAACTCTGTTTACATTTTAAACCATATGAGGTTTGTTAATGGGAGTTTGCATTAGCATTAAGCATAAATACAGTTTTGATTTTATGCACATGTTTAAAAAATGTACAAATCCGTTTTAAATCAATTTAGGGAATATTTTAATGATGTAGAATTTGACATTATTTTAGATTTTGAAACAAGTCATAAAATGAAACCATTTGCCTGGGGAAATATATAAAAAAAAATCAGAAGATTCAATGAAATACTGATTAAATTTTTGTCCATATTAATGGTAAATTTCTGTGATGAGGAATTACCATTATTATTATAGGCTGATTTGTTTCAACTGATTTTTTTTTTTTCCCAAATGAACACTTCATTCAATCCATGGGAGTAGGGTGTTTTCATATTAGTGTCCATACCAAGGGGGAAAATATTAGTTAATTATTTTGTTTTTTTGTCTTTTTATTTCATCCTTATGATGCTGCTTCTGTTCATTCTGCTGGATTTTCTTACCTGACCCAGGGATTGAACTTATCATTAAACAGTAATGCATAATTAATGCTTCCATCCACAATAGCATTGTCCTGTAGTTGGTATGATTTTAGAGACTTTTAAAAACCTACTATGTGGTTTTTCTTGATCAATGTCACTCATATGATGTTCAACTCTAGGTCTACTGAGGAGATATCAAGGTGTTCTGATTCTTTGTTATTTTGACTCTGTTCCATATTGGTGGGTGATCTTTATTCCTTTTTCTTTCACACATTATCTGCCATAACTGAACGTCAGTGCCTGTTCCATATGCTAAGGCCTTTTTATGTTCTTTCAGCTTTACCTTTAAAGAGCAGTTGGTCTTACCTTTATATTTTCTGCTGCAACTGCATACAATGTTATACACACAGTTTTTATCATGTTTTCCTCTGATTGAGGCTCAACACTGGTCAGGTATCTCTGAAGGGTGTAACTGTTTTTTAGTACCATCTTAATGTTGTATGTGCTGTTCAACTTCTGGGTACTTCTTCATATAGCTTTGATATTCCATGGCAGTTTTCCAAATGTTGTCATCTAGCCTTGTATCTCTGCTTGTGGATTCTGTTAATATTTGCTTGGTAGTTGTTAGTGAAGTGAGATATTTGCAATATTATTAAATGCATTTAGGTTGATGCTTTTTAAAAATAATATTTCTGGAAAAGGATAGCATGTGATTCAGCATGTGATGGATTGAGAGAAAATATTAAGTTATAATTGGAATTATAGTTTGTGATTGAAGTTGCATGTTGAAAAAATTTACTATTGTTAAGAGTAGTTTCATAAGAGAATACATTCATTAAGTACTCTTCTTAAAATAGACTGGTTTTGATGAAAAATAAGTCAACACTATGCTATAATTTTAATCAATATGCTATAACCTTAAATAATGATAAAATTGATTTTGTAATTATTTTTTTCAAATTCTAGTGATTTTTATTTTATTAGAATATAAATAAAATTCTTGTATTTTTATTTACTTATTTTTTCTTTTTAAAGCAATGCAATCATTTGGTCTTGGCATATTTCATTTGAAGATTTTACAGTTCAGTCCATATCTCTTCCAACATCAGTCCTTTCAGGCTTGTCTTGAAATATGGTACCTAAAGATGGTTTGTAGTGTCAGTCAAAATGTTAAATAAACAATGTCTGGTAACTATTAATTGATTTATTTTTAATGTGAACTGTTCTTGTTAAGGTTTCCTTTGCTTACTCAAATTTGCTGTGCAAGGAAATTAGTTTTATAGCCAGTTTAGTTAAAGGTTGATTCTTTAAGTTCTTATTTTGATATTTGGTTTCAGTCTGAGTGCTTGTAAAATCTTTCAAGAACTTTCATTTGTAAATTGAATGAACCAACATCTTTTTTTTTTCTTTGAATTTCTAGAAATTCATGTTATACAAAGAGATGATATTTATGCAAATAAAAATGAAAACTGCTTCAACATTGTTCACATCAGCTGAGCAAAATCAGAGATTATCAAACAAAATATTTGTTTACAAGTGCAGATATCAATGATGCAATATGTAAAATATGTCATTCTTGTTTCAGATTTATTCAGCCTCCTTATTGGTGACTATAATAAAATTTCTCTTCTCTTTCAGCGACAGGAACACATCAGTATCATCCCTGTAAGTCAAGAAGTGGTCATTGATAAGTGTGTAGCTGACAATTGCTGTGATGGCAAAGTTCATTGCCCTTTCTGTGATACTGACCACTTTAAGCCGACTAAGCCTACAAGAGTTAGAGATCACCTGGAATTATTACACATGTCTTATGCTGTTCAGGCAGAGGGTAAATTACAAAATTTATTCTAATTTTGTGTGTAAAAGTCTTTCATCAAGTTATTTTTTTGCTATCTTATAATATTGCTTGTTTCAAATGGGTTACTGAGATTTTCATTCGTCATTTTTGGATAAATTTATTTTAAGAAATCTTCATTTAAAAAAGCAAATAGAGATGGATTTGAAAATGTTGCACAATTTTCATGAAAAAGAAAATATTTCTATTTGAATGTTCAATGTATACTTTTTTGCCTGAGACATTTTTAGCTCACCTGTTTGGCAATTCCCATTCTATATCCACTTTAAAAAGGTAATTTCTCTATATTTAGCAAATTGTTAACATGTCAAATCATGATGAACACATGAATACACCAGTCATCTTCAAAAAGAAACTTTGAATTTGAAAGATTTATGGTAAATTATTGAAATATTTTTTAAACAAAATTACTAAAAACTAAAGTTTATTTTTATGATAAAATTCCATTCTGTTTATTAATACAATTAATAAGATATTTTTTTTTTATTTAAGATATTTTTTCTCTTCTTTTAGTGAAAACTATTTACTCAACTGGTTAAAAATGTTCAAACCCTCAAAGTGTCTATTCTACTGGTTATTTTAAAGTTTAGCTGGATATATATATATATATATATCCAGGTAAAATGAGAACAAATGGAATATAATTCCACTGTCTGTAACATTTAATTTAACATCGCTTGAGGAGACCCATTTGTAGTGTTGAAACATAATTGTGTAGCTATATATATATATATATATATATATATATATATATATTTTAACGTGTTTTTGTTTTAATATCCTCAAATAATATCTATATATATATATATACACACACACATAAAAACTGGCAAACATTTCCATTTCTCTGTTATAAAGCTTAGTTTATACTCTTTAACATAATACTATCTTGCACTGTTATTCTAGAATGGAATTACTTTATAAATTCTGTTTTTGTGGTAACCAAAATATTTTTGGGTTTTTAAACTTTCATAGAAAATAGATTTTAATGATTTTTCTATTTTTCTCACAGATTCAACCGAAATTACTTGGAAAACATTTTGTTAATTTAACACATTATTTTGTTCAATTTATTTCACTATTGCAATATTATGAAAAGTAAATTATATTCAAAGTCAATAATTGTCAGAAATATTTTCTTTTTTTTCATTTTTTTCATTCCGTTCATAGAAAAATGAAATATAAAATAGTTTAATATAAATGGCACAAAAAAAATATTCACCTTTGATTGAAAATTGTTTTTCATGATCAACTACAATCTGTAGGAAATAACAATTTTTATTGAAATATTTTTTCCTAAAATGTCTTATAATTGTAGTTTTAAGTTGGAAATGAAAAATATATAAATATATTAAATTGGGAAAAAAAAATGAAATTTTTAAAGACTCCAAAGATGAAAAATTAAAAAGTTTGGCAACAAAGGCAGTGTCTTATAAAGATTAAATTATAGTGGCAGCAAAAAAAAAAAAAAGATACAATTTCCTTCTTTTATTGTAGCCATGACTAAGTAGCATTCTAAAAGAAAATAACCTTGATCTTTTGAAAAAAAATCTTACTTTTGGAGACTGGTAGGAGCATTTAAATTAAAGGAAACCATCTTTGACTCACATCAGATCATCTAATTCAAGATGTCTCATATTAACATATAAAATATTTTTCCTATTTGCTTAAAATTGGATTTTAGAATGACATAATTTTAAACTTGAATAACTCTACTTGTGTAATAATTAACCTGACTTATTATTTTTTAAAGAATTGTTTCCTTCATCTTGTTTTAAAGAGGTTGGTATATTTTTAAATTCAAGGCAAAGTTTTCCTAAGATAGAGCATATTTTTAAACAGTTTTTATATCTTTAACATATAACTGTTCATTTTTAGGACCTATGAGAATATGATAATAAATTTATATTCTGGTCTAAGCTGTTGTTTGTAAACAAAAAAAAAAGTGTGCATAAAAAATTTACTCACAACGGTATGATGATGATTTATTTCACAAATATTGAAGCAACTTTATTTTAAAATGAAATTATATTCAGTTTTATATGTTCTTTATATAGTGTGCTGATTGTTGAGAACTTCTTAAACATTAGTAAATGTGATAATTCAAACAGACTTACTTACAGTTACATTGTTTTTAATGGGATTGACTAATTTAATGAGTTATCCATGTTACTACATAAAATTTATTCTTACAGTTTTTTTAAAATCAAATTTATTCTTACTGTTTTTTAAAAATCTTTTATAAAGATTGATAGAAAACAAAATGGTGAAATAAACTGAGAACTAACCAGCAGTTGAGTTGCATTCAGTTTCACTGCAATTTATTTTTGTCACATGTAATTTATGAATTTAGCCAAAATTGCAGATATCTATTATGTATGTACAAAAGTTTTGAGTAGTCTCTTTTTGAAAACGAGCAACTAAATATACAATTGAAAGTTGTTTCTATTAAAGAAATATAAAAATGTTGTAAACTTTTACATCCCCCTAGTACTTTTTATTTGCTGTGAAAGAATGCAGTAATATCATTATTTAAATTTGATCCAAATGGAATAACCCAGTTAATTTCTGCATCAAGGCAATAGTCGACAGATTCTGAAAAATGCAAACAATCTGATAACAACAGATTGTATTTAATAGATAAGAGTTGCAAGATTGAGTTAAAAAGATAATTTCTAACAAGCAGTATATAGTAATGAAAATACATTTCTTTCATTTTTATTTTGTTTCATTGCATTCTGTTCAAGTGTGTTGTAATTTTTCAGATTTGATTATAGTAAAATGTTTTTGGAACTGTGGCCAAACAGCTGGCCATTATCATTGCCCCTATTGTCCATCTAAGCTGCTTAAAAGATATGCCTTCACCTTGCATCTATACACTCACATGCACAAGCTGGTAAGTTTACATTTTTTCTAAAATCTGCTTATTTGATAGTTGAAATATATAAAATTATATTTAAAATCTTAAATGTATTTGGCAGATGATATAATTTTCTTCACTTTATTGTAAATTGTTCAACTGTTTTCTTTTTCACTTGTGCAATTGACTTATTGATTTTCTTTGTTTTTTGTTAGAGATATGTGTAATATAAGATTCGTTCAGTTTTGATAGTATGATCGACTTAGATCATATCTTGTTCAATTTTTTACTTTATAAATATTGTTTATTGCATAAATACTTTTTGTGAAAGTGTGAATAACAGAATTGCATTCTCATATCTACTTGTTTGATCCTTTCAGTTTCTGAAAATGGAATGATAAAGAAAACTAACAAAATTTTCTATTTAGATATTTTTTTATTACATAGTTGAAACCTTTTCTTGAAGAGTACATAAGTTTTATGCAATTATATTTTATGCAGTTAAGTTTTATACAAGTTTTATTTTGCATCTCAGGGGAAAGATAAAAGCTGCATTGTCGTTCCTGATCCAAAAAATCCAACCACAATCAAAGGACTTGGTAAGTTGGATTCACTTTAATTCCTGACTTTATTTATGTGTGCAATATTTGTTTTAAGGAGGTGGGGGTAATAAATATTTTTGCCATGCTTGAAAATGCATTGGTTATTTAAAAAAATTTTTTTTTTACTAGAGGAATTCAATGCAGCAGTTGTGACCAAGTAACAAAACTCCATATCCAATTTTGTTATTAAAACATAAAATTTTAATGTATTCATAAAGAAATATTTGTTGAAATTGTTGAAAAAATAACAAGCAATTTTATATTTACCATTTTTATTTTTGATGAACAGCCAAGAATTTCTTAGTGACACATTCTTTATTAAAGAAAGTTCTTCAAAATAATCCCACTATCGATTGTATAAAATTTGTATCTTGAGTGCGCTTCCAAGTGTTTCTTTTAGGAATTCTTCTGGACATGTACAGCATTTGATACTCTTTAAATATTTTAAGTTAATGCAGGAAATAAAAATATTGAGACAGAAATGTGTATAGTTACTTCCAAAGAAAGTTGTTCAATTATAAAATAAACTTTCAAAGAATTTGGTCAGTTTGTTTGTCATCTCAAAGGATTGGAGAGTATTTTTATTTTATATCAACTTTGCTGATATTAATTTGAAATCTCTCATTGTCACAGTTTCTCTTACAAATAAAAATTATGTAATTAACCTTTTCTATTTTGAGATCTTGTTTCTGGCCATTATATGTCCAATATTTAATTTGAAATATTAAGGATTTTGACTATTTCATGTGAAACTGTCTAATGTCATCCTAATATTAAAGTTGTTCCATTTATTTTTCTGTCTTATTTTTCTTGTGTAGGCCCAGAGATTCATCTGTGTAAAAAAGAGGAATGTTACAAGGAGGTAAATTCTAATAATGGAAATACTGTTGAAGCAAATGGCAATAGTGGTAAAACCACTGAAGTTGATCCTAACCAGACCCTCTCTCCATCCACACTCAATCCTGAAGATTTAGCTTCTTCCTCTACCACCACCTCCACCACCACCACCACCACCACAAATGAGAATAACACAATCACTGACACTGGTCCTCATTACCACTGCCCACTTTGTAACTTAATTTGCAAACGAAGAAGTCCTCTCATCAACCATTTATGGAGGTGTATGGAGCGGCCACGTACTTCTCAATCAGCAGTTGATGAAAATTGGAAAAAAGCAATTAACCCAGATTTGAATGAAGCTACCAAAGTTCCACATCCTCGTGATGTCAAAGAAATAAAGGTAATCTGGAGTAATCTCCCTTACAACTTATAGCTGATTTAGGTTTATGCATGAAATGACTTTATATATTGTATTTAATAAAGACAAAAATTTGTATCTTTTTTTTTTTTTTTTTTTTTTTTGAAACATGGCAAGGTTTCTAATTATTTCATAGGTATTTATAATAATTATTTAAGTTATTTTTCTATGCTATTCATCATTATGTCCTGGTTGGATTTTTCTAAATTTTGTAGTATAACTCAATTTATTGTGATTTCTTTTGAAAAGAGTTTATTTTGTCTTTATAACACAACCCCATTCTGTGGTGTGAGTTTCTGATTTACAGGAATGAAAGGGATGAGTTACAAGAAAAATGAAGAAGGAAGTGATTTTCAGGATAGATAACCTACTCTTGCTTGTAAAAATAATCTTTTGAAAGTTCTAATGATTAGTTTAACCTTTCCTAATCCCTTGGTGCTGTGGTCTACCTAAGATTGGTTTGTGAGTTAGGTGTTAGCATTAATCACAATATATTGCAAAAACAAAAGTAATGCCAATGGACTGGTGACTAGTAGTCGGTTCAACAGTTCAATCAGGGAACTTTGGTCTCCAAAATATGATCTCCAATTTTTCCACTTGATCATCAGTCTACAAATGAAAACTTAAGATGGGGGAACAATTCTTCTTTGGTAGTATCTTTCAAGGGGGTGGTAGAGTTGGTAAAATTATTTGGCTCTGAGATGGCTGTAAATCTTTTTATGGGAACACATTTCAGGAGTTGATCTGAATATGTGCATAATAATAGGTTCATGGGAAGGTGTTTAGTGACTTCATCTTGTCACAATACCAAATTTTTGATCTCAAAGACAAACAAAACAAAATTTTGAAGTAATATTCAAAAATAATAACATTCATTTACTTAATTTTGGCAAAGATTCTTCCTATCAGGACTATTTGGTTTAGTTCAACTTTCATTTTAATGGTGGTGAGGGGAGATGTAAGGTGGGTGCTCTTTGTTTTAACCAACTCTCATGGCTTAAATTGGGAAGTCATGAGTTCAAATTTAGGAAATCCCATGTGCTAATTCAATTTATTGTAATTAAATGCATTTTGTTTATCCAACAGACCATTTGAAATAGAAAACTAGACTCCAGAATACTTCTGGTATTCTAGTAAAATCCCAAATTACTAGATTTGCTATTTAAGCTTTTCATATCAAATTATCAATTCATATTCAAACTAGCCACCAGTTATAAAATTTAACCAATGTTTTATATATATATATATATATATATTAACTTTAATAAAATCAAATTACATAGTTACTATAATAAATGATAATATTTATATTTGATATCAATTGAAAAACTTTGATCAATAATTTACTTAAGAACAATGCCTATAAGTTATTCAATTAAGTCTTGGTGGTTTGAACAATTTGTTCAACTTGATGTGTTCTGAACTTTGATGAATATTAAATGAATTTAATTTAATTAATTTCATAGGTTGTAAGTATAAAAAAAAACAAAAAAAGAAAGTAAAGTGCATCATCTGTTAAGATGGTTGCTAAACATCTATTTCATTTGTCAAACTGGCTTTTTTGTAATTACTCTTGTTAAATTACAAGATATAATTCTTCCTTTCTTTTTATGTCAAGATTTGATTTTCTATGTTTCTCTTCATTTTCTTTAAAAGAAACTTGTCTTTAATCTTATTAATGGACCTCTTAGGAAAATGAATATTCAAAGGTAGACTTATTGAGGTAGGATATAATTATGATTTGCATGTTAAAAATAGAGTAAATAACATGAAATATTGCTTGAAAATTTTATTTTTAATAACTTGGTAATCATATTAAAAAAATTATCCTAAATAGGGATATTGTGTTTAATTATGACATCTTTGTGAATTTGTATTTTTTGCTAGTATCACATCTCAATTGTACGCACATTGAATGATCTTCCAATGACCAAATGCTACTCACCTGACTGTGATTGTGGACACAAATATCATTGCCCTCTTTGTGTAGAAGACAGATTCAAACCCAATTATTTGTGCCATCTCCAGCTTCATTATTATGCACATTGGAAACGAAGAGTTACATACAAAGGTAAGCACACACACAACAGAGTTTTTTGTGGAAACTCTTCTGATTTACTTGTGTTAATTTATCTATAACTACAATTACTTTTTATTATAAGATTACTAGTTTAACTATTGTCAGAAATGTCAATATATATGAAATTGTTATTTTGTTAAGTCCTAACTGTTATATTTTCCTATGTTAGTCTTTAAATGCATTTTGTTTTTTAATTATGGCCCTTTCACAGTCAGTCTTTTCACCTCCAAGTTTTGTAAATGTCTTTGAATTTTCTTTGTCATAACAAAAATTCTGTCAAGTAATTTTGTTTGCATCAATCTTGCATTATTCCATTTGAGATATTATTTTGTTTAACATGAAATACATTTTTATTGAAGTCCTTTAATCTTTTTCTGCAGATTATTCTGTATTACTGTGTAATAATTGGTGTGAATTGAAGGCCGGGTGCCACAAGGTCCGCTATCACTTTCACTGTCCGATATGTGGGGCCACACGTCGACGGCGTAAGGGCTTTGCTCATCACCTCCAGATATGTAATGGGCACCCACGACCCTCATCTCGAAGACAAAATACTCATGGCCTCAATGAAGACACTACATTCACCTCATCCACAGTAGAAGAGGAGGAGGAGGAGGAAGAAGAGGAGGAGGAGGAAGAGGAGGAAGAAGGGCTTGAGGAGGAAGAGATTTTAGGCTTAGATGAACAATTCACTACAGATTTGATGATGGTCAGAGATGAAGAAGCAGAAGAGGAAGAGGAAGTAGGAAATGAAGGAAATTCAAAAGAAATGGAAATTCCAATCACAGAAGAAAATGTAATAGTCACACAAATGGAAGTTGACGACGATGAGTCTCCAACCAAGATTGATCAGTGCAAAGAGAATGCTTGTCTTGAAAGCATCAAACAGGTACAAGATACAAAATTAACATCTCAAGAAGAAGTGGATGAAATTATTGAATTACCATCTCAACCTCAAACTGAAATGCCTCAGTTCACTAAAGAAGAAGTAAGTTATTTTTTCATCTCTGCTCCTTTTCATATCATAATTCCTGTTTAAATTCCTGCCTGATTCATAGACATAGTTATCATAAGCTTTAATCTTCTCCTCTCTGACCATTCTCAGTTATAAGTTTTTGTTTAATTCATTTCTTAATAAAACTGCTGAGTAGAAAAGAAAAGATCAGTTTTATTTGTTTATAGTATTACTTGCTGTCTCTATTCACTGACATAATTGTATCTTATATTCTAACCAATCAAACAATTACTACCTTTACATAACTATGAAGATGCAATGGTTTTCACCTTGTCTTATGATCAATTTAATAATTGAATCTATATATTTTTTTTTTAACTATTAAACACTTTTTTGTTACATTTTTTTACTTTTTAGATTTTTTAGAAGACAGAAAAATCTTGACATATTTGTCGTGTATTCTTATTGATGTAAAGGATCCTGTAAAGTCTGCCTTGTCAAATAAATAGGCAAATCATGCACACAATGACTGAAAAACTTACAATAAAAAAATGTCTAATGCTGATAATATATGCTCTTGAATTTTCTGTGTATTTTTTACCTTGCAAGTGATGAATAAGAAAAAAAATACCTATGTTTTTGTTTACAGTTGTATGATCAAGTGAGTGCCAGACTGTCATTCAAGTGTGTTGATGCCTTCCGAGAGAAAGGCAATGTGGATGAGATATTTTCTAGCATTGCATTGCGTACTGGTGCTGAGTGGAGTTGTGCCCCTGCTACTATTGACAGCATGTCAGTCCATGAGTTTGTGGGAGATTTGCAAGTGTTGGCCTCAACCAGAGATTTACTCTTCAAGGTAAGAATATTTTTTTTCAGCTATGGTTTGGTAGCATTTTACTTTAAAATTTTAATTTTAGTCTCTTTTCAAGCTTTTAGTGTATTAATGAAGGTAAATGTGTATGAGCCTTGAGAGGTGTTATTGCTGTCAGTATGATCATCCTAATAGCCATAGCAGACATCATTTGTGGTAGAATTATCTACTGCAAGTGGCAATAAATAAAACTATTTCTTTTGTCAGAACTGGGAAGAAGCTCACATAAGCTGTTTGGACCTCTGTTAGTATTGTCACAAATTTTGAACATGAAAGTTGACCTTGGAAAATAACTAAAGTTTAAAGAATGATTGTTATAATAATGCTAAGCCCAGGCATGCTGTTGACCATGTAAGTTATTCTGTTGGAGCTTAACATTCCTTGTGAAGCCCATAGCAAGGCAGACAAAATAAGAAAGAGGGCAAAGTATGCTGAAGCACTGAGTGGCATGTTGTTCAGAAATTGATATGGCAGCTCAATTACAAAATGAAATAAACAAATCAAAAGTCCAAACTTGAAGATCCAGGGACAGAAAAAAATCTTGGAATTATGAATTACAGGTCCAATGTAAAAAATCCCAATACATGTAAATGGTCAGAAATCCAATGAACAAGGTAACAGACACTTGCAAGCCAATGGACAGGGTAGAAAAATAAACTACCTCTCAATTTGAGAACAGCAACAACTTTTATTGACAGAACAATTTTTTCATTGGTCAACGGTTGGAGAGGACAAGCAATATTAGCATATATCCAAGATGCATTTATGGCAACACTTGTCACTGACTTGTTTCTATTTTGGTTATTTTGTCTTTGGCATATCATACAGAACTTTTTCTCGGTAAGTGCATCACAGGAACCATTGTTGAAGGAGCTCTTAGATTCCTACACACAAAGTGAGCATGGAGCAACCCTGGCTAGGTGATCTAACTGAGGGTGTTTGATTGTTGAAAGATATGAAACACAGTGATGTTAGGAAACATTGATGTGTCCAGCTGCATCACAAGAGGCCTCATATAATAAGAGGGGGAAAAAGATTTGAGCAAAGAATGGGAAACCTGATATTGATGAATTTTATATATATATATATTATATTCTGTGCTAATAGGAATATGGAATAAACAAATACGGTGAATAAATAATAACAGGTTTATTGTAGAAACCAGTACAAGCAAGGAAGTAATAGTTATATGCACGGTCATTGCAAGTCAGTACAGTTGATCCCAGATCCCAGCTTGAATCTGCTGTCCGGTGTCCTAACGAATACTTACAGGTGGTTACCGCCTATAATGCCGCCACTGATGGGGGGCAGGTTATTCCATCACATATATATATAATCACATACATATATATATATATATATATATATATATATATATATATATATATATATATATATAATTAGGTACCTCCATAGATTTGTGATAGCTAAGGTTTAAATTTAATTTTACAAATGAAAAACTTTCTTGAAGATTTTATTTTAGTTTTAATTTCAAGCTAATAGATTAAATTAAATATTTACAATAAGCAATATATTTCGCTCTATTTAAAATATTTAAATTGATTAGAAAGAGTTTTCATTTTAGAATTGCTGAAATTGTTGATTTTAGTGCTATTTTTAGCCATCCGAGTTTGAATTCCAGTCAAATCCATTATATTCACTTACATGCTAATATCCTTGGGAAAGGTATGAATCTCCTAAATCTTCTATGAATCTGCCTCGTGCGTCATGTATTGAAAGTTACATGATTGCCTAAGCATGTATCCTTCATGGCACATAACTGAACTGTCATCAGAATGTAAAATTTTATTAAAAATCTTCCCAAAATAAAATATACTTTTCTGAAACTTTATTTGAGGAATATTAGCTGATTTAATGTATAATTAATTTGATTTAAAACAAATATTTACTTTAAGTTTAAAATATTGCAGAAATGCATTTTTTTAACTTGGCGATAGCTGTTTATGGTTTTATTTATAAAAAATAGTTGAAGAATATGTGATCACCTTTTATATATAATTTTTAAGTACTCAGTAATCTTAAAAATTTAAGAAAATATTCTTTGTGATCTAATGTTTTATTGGATTTTAGATAATTTGACTTTAAATTTACTATAGTTATTGCTTTTATTTTCTGATAATGTTATGTATGAACAACCGTATCTACAAAAATAGGCACATTTATACACATACAAAAAAATTCAAAATTCTTTTAAAAATGTTGGTGTTTGATGATTTGTACTAAGCTTTTCTATTTGTGATTAGTAAATATGGTTTTTACTTAATAATATCATCTAAAAGGGTGAAATTAATACAAATTTTAAAAGATTTAAAACTTAAATTATTTAATTAAAATTTTTGGAAAAATGTAAACAATTCTTGTAAAAATTCATTATCCCTCCCCAATTTTTGTGTCTTTATTTATAAAAACAATTAAAAGCTTCTCTAATTAAATAATGTCTTAGTTTTATTGCATTTTTGGAGGGCCCTATATATATATATATATATATATATATATATATATCCGGGGCAAAAATGAAGGACAGCCTCTGTCACTGTGTCATCCAGTTTCATCTGCACCAAGTGCCAGAGACTGTCACTCCAGAGTGGGACTACACAGTCACCAGAGGCGATGTAACTCCACCTAGAATTTAAAAAAAAAATATAAGCTGCCTACTCCATCGTCTCCTAACATGGATGGATGTCGAACTGAATGTTGACTGATATATATATATATATATATATATATCTTCACTCAGCTAATTAAAAAACAATTTTTAAATGTCTAGCAATATTCATGTGGATTTTTATAGAATACAAATTTATTTATTTCTTGTAATTAACAATTTAAGGGATTTTGTAAAATTTGTATGCATAATGTTTTGACATTCCCTTAATGCTCAGGATAATTTTTTTTTCTCAAATATTCATCGGATAGTAAATAAAATAAGTGACAGCATAAAATATTTTATTTTGTTGTGGAAATTCATAAATTGTATAAGTGCTACATGACGTGAACTGTTTAGATATTTTGTTTAACTTCCTTAGTCAAAAATTATTTACATTAATTTATAATTAAAAAAAAAGAACTGCATATCTACTGATTATGAATATATAAATTAGAAAATATCCCTTTATAATGTTAACTGTAGAAAGTCACTTAGCCCAGTCAAAATTGCAAATATACTATTTAAAGTAAAATGTATATAATGAGTAAATAATGAAGAGGTACAATATGAGAAGAGAATCTCATTAGTATGTTTATGAATTGGTTGGGGCTAGATTGGCCAGTTTTCTTTCTTCTATGCTTTATAATCTGACCATGTAATATTAATTTTGCTTTGGCTCTAGAGACCTATACCCTTAACAATTCCTATTGCACTTAACAGGAAGAGTCAGGACATTCACTGATATCTTGTGATTCACTAACATGCTCAAGGCATTTTCTTTGAAATTAATATGTTGAATTTTATTTTATTTAAGGAAGCAAATATCTTCTTTATTAGTTGTTGATAAATTTCTAATGTACTTTTAAAACTGAATAATTATTACAAAATAGTTCTTTTAACATAAGATATGATGAAGATAGGTACTAACTATTAAGAGAAATTTACATTGACAAAAATTGATTGTAAATATATTTTGATGAATGTAAAATTATTTTCAGTTATTCCAAATTTTCATGTCTCTCAACAAATGTAGTTTGTAAACTTTAGATTCTATTTTATATATTTTGTAAAATAATGTTGGCCCATTTTTGTGTTTTCTGTTATGTAGACTCTGGTTGGAGAAGTGCCCGATGATCAAGTCCAAAGTGAATTGGCAGAAAAACAAGCAAATCCACGTCAGTAATTAGTTTAGTTCTATTTATTAAAAAATAATGCTACACATATTCAAATGTCATTCCTAATACAAGAATCGATGCATCAATTTTTTTTTTTCTCAATATTAATTGAAGAATATTATATACTTCTCTTAAAGCTAGCATGAAGTTTGATAATTACTTTTGTAAAAGGGATTTATCACTTTTCACATAATGATATTAGATCCCATAAAATAACTGGAGAAATATTTTGTGTTAAAAGCCTTTGTTACTTTATAACTTAAAAAAAAGTAGGAGATATATTTTGGTCTTGTAAAACATTATTCTATAAAGTTATAATTAAAAGGCTAACATAATCCTGACTGGTTTTTGACTGGTACTATTATGGATTAGCACTTTTTCTTAGGATCAGAGTGTAATATCTGTGTACTCTGAAAAGTTTGATGCACACATTACATTTTATTTGGGTAATAAGAATGGGGTTAAATCTGGTGAAATTGAAAATTTCAGTATAGGATAAAAATGTGTTCATATCTTTACATCGATTTTGTTTCATAAAATAAAAAAGTTGTCCTTAAAAGCGAATAAGTTAGCCTTTTTTGTTCTAAAAGAGACGCAAAAAATCATTTAACTGGTTCTCACCTCAAATATGGAATCTGTTGGTTTCATTTCATGGCTTCTTTTATACCATGATAATTGTGAACAAGAAAATGGAACACAGTGTTTCAAACTCTAAGATAATAAATCTGTTTGAGAGAATTATCTTAGCTAGAAAAAAAAAAAATTTTTTTAATTTCTATTTCTCTTCAAATGCAAACATAAAAGCATCTACTCACAATAATATAAAGTCAGAGGAATTTGACCATCTTAAAAAAACAGTCTCTTAAAATAATCCCTTTGTGAACAAACCTCTTCTCTCCGGACTCAAAAGATAGTCCCAAAAATTTGTAACATGTTAAATTTCATGAGAAGTAGTCTTGCATATATGATGTTCTGATCAAATGATCAAACTTTTTTTTTTTGTTTTAGTCAGGCCAAGAGCTTTTCTAATCATATCCATTTTCTTGTAATTAGATTAAAATAATTTATCTGTCAGATCATTGCAAAAGTTTGTGCCTGATTTTCATTGTTAATATAAAATGAACACAACTTGACACTGGTGTTTGTTTTGGTTCCAATTACTGATGTCTTCTAGATTTAAACCTTGCATCATTTGCATCATTCAATTAAAGATGACATTTTGTTCTTAAATGAATGCCTTAAAGGATGAAAAGTTGAACTTAGGCCATATTATATGCTATGAATTTTGCAAAGGGGTAAGTGTTGGAACTGCAACAAAAAACATCCAGCTCTTTGGATGGTTTAAATTGATTTGTCAGATTTTGTCAGGGTGATTTTAACCAAAACAATCAATCATACTCTGGCTGACCCTCCTATGTTGATGAAAGTGATCTGCTTGCCATCATGGAGAATTAACTGAAGATTTTGATTGAAGAGATTGCTAAGAATTTGAAAATTTATATCTCAACTGCCTTTTACCATTTGAAGTGACTTGGATTCATTTCCAATCCCGACACATACATGCAATGTTATCTAAACAAGCTTGATTGTGTTTCTGCGGTAATTTCTTTGCTGTTACACCATGAAAAGGAGCCATTCTTGGACAAAATTCTCACAGATGATAAAAAAAATGGATTATGATAATGTTTGTTGCAAACAGATCTGCAAACAAGCTTGTAAATGTGCAGAACCTGTGGCTAAAGTGGGTTGGCACCTAGTGAAGGAGTTGCTGTCTGTTTGGTGTGATTGCAGATGGATAATTATATTTGAGATTCTTCTAGCCACCAAAACAATAGCTACAAAAAAAGTATGCAACTGACTCAACAATCTCAATGCAGCTATTCAAGTAAAACATCCGATTTTGGCAAATTGAAAAGGTGTCATTTTCCACCATGACAACACAAGACTGCATGTTGCAAAACATACCCTATAGCAGAAGCTTAAAGATTTGAAATGGGACCCCACACTCCAGCAACCACCATATTCTCCTGACTTGACTCCTTTAGATTTTCATTTGTTCCTGTCTCTACAAATCAATTGAAATGGCAACAAAATTTGACTCTATACAGGCAGTGAAAAACTGCATCACAAATTTCTTCCAATAAAACACAAAGTTTCTATGAAAATGGCACCAACAAGCTTGCAGAACGATGGGAGACACATGTTAAAAACAAGGGAGACTATGTACTTGATTGATAAATTGTTTTTTTTTTTTTTTTGTTTTTTTTTAGTATGTAAAAGGCACAAACTTTTGCAATGATCTAATACTTCAATTTAGCCAGAAATATGAAATTGGTTTTATAATTAAATAAACTGGAATGCAACTTATTGCTGTGACTGTTTATTTTGGTTTTTCTTTGGCCACAGAAAGAAATTTTGAAAAAATGCTTTCTTGTTACTATTCTTTTTTTTTTTTTTTTTTTAATAATTTCCTAATTCAGTATTTTGTATGAATTATGTTAACTTTTTCTTTAAGAAACTTGAAAAATCTCTCTTGAGATAGTTTCTTGGTAAAAAGATATTAATGTGTCATTTTTATCCACTATCTGTTGGAGATAAACTTCTAAATACTGCACTGTTTAAAAAAATTTCTGAAAATGAAGCTTTAAAAAACGGGTGTCTACTCGAATGTGTATCAATTAAAATAAAACATTTAAATTAATAAGAAACAAATAAATAAAATCCATTAATTCCTTAGAAATTACTACTTGCTGAGATTCTACAAAGATTATGTTTATCTTTTGCAGGATTAATAGAGTCATCTAAGAATCTGAAGACTCAAGTCATGGATGCTAGTGTCCAGGTAGAAGATAGTAGTTTCCCTACTTTGGTTTTACAACCATCAGTAAGGAATACAAATGCACAACTCAAATCAGCTGCTTTAAATGGAAAATCTGGAAAACTACCATTTTCTGTTGCTGGTATGAATCCAGCATTGGTAACTCCAGTGCCAAGGAAGCGAGGTCGGCCAAGGAAAATACCTCTGCCTTTAGAAGTTGTTAATAGTGCTAATTCAGTGAATGGTGCCAAAGAACAAAATGTGATAAATGCTGAGGAGTCACCATCTAAATTCTCTGATTTTCCCTCCACAATGAATCTTGGAGCCAACTCAGAAATTATCCACACTCCCAGGAAACGAGGGAGACCCAGAAAGATATTTATAAACAAACCTGTTGTCAAAGAAATATTGACTGATAACTTAACAGTTAAGACTAATCAAGTAAGGATTGGAATTGCAGGTGCAAATAAGTCAAAGAAGGAACAAAGTTTGGTTCAAAAACCTGAGAAAAGAAAACGTGGAAGGCCACGCAAGGATAAGAGTCTTCAGGTTCCTCTTCAAAGTGTAGTCAATCAAGAGGAAAAACAATGTGTAGATGTTTCAGCCCTAACTCCTGTCTCTGACCCTATTTCTCTAGATGGTTCCTCTACACCCAAACGTTATTCTACACGAGGCAAGAAGATTGATCTTTCTTTCCTCACTGGTAAAAACAAAAAAGACGAGGCTGATAAGCTTGAAGCTGAAGATGGATTAGTTTGTTTGAAGAAGACTAAAATAGAATCATCTCCTCCAGTTCTCTTGCAGAACTCCACAGTCAATGTAAAGAGAAATCTGTTTGAGAAAGATGATGACTTACATCAGTCAGAAGCTGATGAAGATAATGATATTGTCATTTCAGGAACTGATGGAAATTCTTCATCAAAAGGCCAGTTGAAAAAGAACAGATCTCGAGTTTTGCAGCCATTGGTCATGTCAGATGTAGCTTTACTTCCAACAATTCGTGTAGACATCATCCAAAGAAGAGGACAGAAAAAAATGACAAGCATTAAAAATAAAGGAAATGCGACTGTTGTAAAGAGCACTGCTTCATCTACTGCTCAGGCACCTGAAAAAGACTTGCTCACGTCTAGTGGAGAAACTAGTTCCTCCTTGAATGAGGGTACTGCAACAAAAGAAGGAAGTGATTTGAAATTGTTATCTGCAGTAGAAGCAGAAGGACTCCGCTGCCACCTTTGTAAAATCAAAGGTGAAAAGTTTGATGAAATCACAGACCACCTTAAAGTAGTGCATGGAATTGAGAAACCTCTGAGATGTGATGTTTGTGAACGGACATTTGAAAAGCTCTTTGACTTGCGCAGTCATGTAAATCGCAAGCATGGACCTTTCCCCCAAATGGACACTGTAACCTGTTTCAAATGTGGTAAAGTTTTTCAAGGGACTGCTAAATTAAACTGGCATCTGAGTTTCATTCACAAGATAACACGTGAACCAACCCCAAAGAAAACCCTATGGCCTTGCAACCAGTGCAATGACTCCAAGTTATGCAATTTGTGTGGTAAGGTTTTCTCAAAGGGTAACCATCTTGTAACCCATATTCAAGCAGTCCATACTAAGGAAAAAGCAGCCCAATGCACAATTTGTAGCAAAAAGTTCAATCACATCCGCTATTTGCGCACTCACATGAAGCGACATGAGGGCATTAAAAAACATCAGTGCCCAACCTGTGGTTGGCGCTTCTTTGAAAGTAACACCCTCAAAGATCACATGGAAACCCACAAAGAAGCCAGCAAAAGGCGTTACCGTTTCACGTGTGATTACTGTGGCCAGAAATATATCAGCAAAGCCAACTTCAGTGATCACCTGAACAAACACACTGGAGAGAAACCACATAAATGTCAAGTGTGTGGCAAAGGCTTTGCTTTCCGTACAATGCTGATGAAGCACCAAATCCACATTCACACAACTGAAAAGCCATTCAAATGTACTTACTGTGAACGGGCTTTCAAGTTCAAAGCAAAATTACTGCAGCACACAGTCATTCACACTGGTGTCAGCAAGTATGTATGTCAGAGCTGCAACAAACCCTTTTCTTGTGCAGCCACACTGAAACACCACCAGCCTCGTTGTCGTGGTAACACCAGCTGGCAGCAGAACAAAACCTTAGCCAATGAAGGCCTAACCCTGATGGTTGATGAACTTGCTCTTGAGCAGCAGCCACAGCAACAGCAGCAAGAACAACAAGAGACACCAGATACAGTAGAGATTCCTGTGGAAGATCAAAGTGATATTGTAATTGATATGTCTGGCTTATCTGGTATGCCTGAAGGCAGCATCCTACAGGCTGCAGCACAAGCTGCACAATTAATGGAAATTCCTGAGGTGTTCATGTGCAGTGAGTGCAATGCTGTATTCAGTTCACTGGCAAATGCAGAAGAACATGTCACCTCATTTCATACAGATGTTGTTGCTGTTGCATCAACTGGAGTGGTAGATGGAGCTTCAACTGAAGTTAAAGTGATGGAAGAACCTGCAAGTTCAGATTACATTGATGCAGCTATGACAGCTGAAAGTGGATCTACTTGAATACAAAGTGGTCAGCAGTTTTTTTTCTCTCTTTCAAGGTGCAATTCTGGGGTGGCCGAGTTTCTTTTGCAAAGCTGCAAAAGCCATTGCTCTATGTGGACTTTGGCTGCTGTTGAAGACACTTCAATGAGTGTCCTTCTCTCCCCACATCTCATTATTTCATCATTTAGCATAGGTACCTTTCATTTTTTTCATTGACTCATCTAAGGACAGTGGGTGTGAGATTATTTGATAAGTCTGTTGTTATATTATGAGGAAATAAAAAAAAAAAAAAAAAAAAGTTGTAATGAAGATGTTTCTTTTATTTTCTTCCCAGCACATAAATCTCAGATCTCTCTGCCATCTTTTGATACTGGAACACTTATTTCAATAACATTTTATTCTATCTTTATAATTGTGCTAGGTTAAGTTGTCAGAGTTATAATGTACCCAAAATCATAAGGTTGATTTCCAGCTGCTCAACTGGTCACATATCATTTTCCTTTTGAGATTTCCACTTGGAAGGACAATTTTCTTGGATATAGAGTTGATGAAGATTATCAACAACTCAGAAAATTATTGTAAGGCAGTCAAAATATCTGTGGATATTCATTACAACGTTCCAATGAAAATTGTAAAAATCTGTACTATATGTAAACATTGAATGTATGTAAAGCATCATCTGGTTTTATTGGCCATTGGAGAAGTTATGTTATCTACACAAACACTGTGTTTTGTAAGTTAACTTCTTGAATAGCTAATAAGACAAGATTATATTTTTGCTACAAAGTAGCTCTGGCTACTCAAGTTTTTTTTTTTTTTTTAAATATTTGAGATGTTGTTAAAGTCCTCTGCTGAAATAAGGGGCCCACCTTTGATTTGGCACTTAATCTCTACAATGCTTTGTGACTAAGTCAGGCATTGATTTAATATCACATTAACCTAGAAGCCTTTGTTCCTGACTCTAGTAATCAGTTAGACATTTTTTGTTTCACTAGTGATTCTGATCTTGACCTAACACTCATTTTGAAACTGGCAACCATTATTTATAAATACACCTTCATTAATTATTTACATAATACTCTTTTTTATGCTATGCTCATATCTTAATGATATTTTAAAAGCTTTTCTGCATTTTAATATGTAAGAAATTATTGGATTGAGAAATTTCTTGCTGTTTTCTTTCATCATTTTTATATTTGCCTGCATTTAAAAATAGAAAATAAGAGAAAACAGTTTAGAAAAAAGAAACAATTTCATATTTTTCCTCGTATATGTATTAAAAGTAATTTTACAAGTTTCATAAATTTCTAAGTATGTGAATATTGTTTATTAATGTAAGAAATGTATTTTGTGTTATGAATCTTTATGAAGCAAGTACAGTAAAAGCTTCCACTGTAAAACCAATGTAAGCTACATTTTTAATGTTTTTGATAATTTTGTTGTGTGTAATTATTTAGTTTGCTTTGAAATATTAACAGTTTTGAATGCTTGTAAACTTTTACTTATTTGGGATTTATAAGGTAATGTCATTTGATTTGTTTTCTTTACTTTGCAGGACATGCAAAGATAGCACATCAACTTTCATTCTTTTTCTCACAGCTTTGTTAAAAACTATTTTGATATGTATTTATTAAGTTATGAAAACCACAGGAAAAAAAATTGAAGGAAGGAAAGATTGTGTTGAATTTGTGGTGTCTAAACATCTCATTTTATAACAATGAGTTGGCTATGACTGTCATGTTCCCTATGATATTTCTTAAGAGGCAAGTGTTTATGAATGTGTCATCTGATTATATGCTTTTTATTATTGCAGCAATTGCCTATGGATTTGAACCTGCAGTATTTAAGTACAAAGATATTCATTCACTGAGAAGTCATAGCATTCATATATTCTTTGTTAAATAAAAAGCATTTTTTTTTTAAGATGCCTTGTCTATAATTAGTTAAAACTCTTCAGTAGGAGATTTATTTTACTTTTTATTTTTAATAATGATTGTCACATTGATTGTAACAATATATATTGGTTTTCATTTAACTCAGTGGAACACTCAAAGACTGACTCCTTAAGTGAAACGATCTCTCGGATTTGTTTGACATTTGCATGTTTCTAATAAGAAACATCACTAAACTCTAGTCCATTAATATGCCACTTTCTACAAAATGATACTCAATTTCACTTGGGGGTTACACTCTTTTACTCTAAAGTTTTGTGGCATATATATATGTACATACATACAAAAATGAGGGTGGATCAATAAATCTGTAGCCTGATTTGTAGTTAGTAGTTAAATTTTGATCTGAAAATTTCACTGTATTTATGTTTATGAGGTAGTTAAATGCATTGACAAGGAAGGAAATTGTTAAAAATAAATATTTATTGTGTAATATAAATGCCTTTTCATCATAGGCTACAAACTTATTGATGTACCCTATGTATATCACCATATTGTAAAGTATTTTTGTTTAAATGATTACATTATGGGTAGGGTAGGCATTTAGAAGAGTAATTTTCAACTTGATTTCAAAATGATCATCTTTTAGTACTTTCAGAAATTTCATTTTTGAATTAAGGTATTCTATATTTATTCTAATATTATGCTGTCCAATCACAGGAGCCTCATATGGGTTTTGTTCAACTGAGTAGGAGAGACCAAAAATGTAGACAACCTTTTAAAAAATGCCCTTAAAAATTGAATAAATAAGCTAAACCAAAATTATTGTATTTCTGGCATTATTCCAAAATTTTCCTTCAATATTTTGTATTTTCTATTCCAATTGTTTGTCTTTACATTTTAGAGAACATTATCATAAAAGAAATCATTATTTATATATTTGTTGTAATTAATATTTCAGCTCTGATGACTATTCAAATTTACCTTAACTCATCAAAGAAGACCAACAGAATAAGGAGAATTGAATGATGGAATATTCAAAGGCCTTTGACTTTACATCAAAAAAATAATGTAGAGTTGGATCCTTTAGAAACTCCATTGATTCATTTGTAGATTTTGAATGGAGAAAAATGATCTGGTGTCATCAAGCAGTTACGGCCAAGAAATAAACTTTATTCAGTTAATCTGTTTATTTTATTTAGCCTTATTAATACAATACCTTTTCAGTTCTTATATTGATAATTTTGGGGTACCTCACAGCTCTGTTTCTCAACCTTGCTTAAAAAGCAATAGCGCACCTAGGAGCAAATGAAAGTATCATGGCATTATTAGTATTATATGGCCCCACATGTCACCTAACAAGCTGAATTCTAACAGGTCAGTATAATGTAATGTAAACAAAAAAAAGAAAAAATTGTGAATGACCACTTAGAAAATTGCTAATCTAAAAGGGAGGTAACTTTAAAAATTTTATTCTTAGAACATAAATTAACAATGTAGAATTTATCAGACATTATTTCAATTCCCCAGACATGTTTTCAACACTAAAATACATATTTATATCTTTTTTTTTTTTTTTTAATTCATGAATTATAAACGGCTGTGAGTTACCTCACTTTTATGATTTTCAATTGTGTATGTAGCCCGTTTTGCAAATGAACGCTATTTGGTAAATTTTCTACCTCATAGTCCATTGTATTTAAAAATTAAATTATAAAGTTTGTGATATTTTGTTTAACAAAAGTGTTGCATTTGACTGTTCTAGTGCATATGTTACTAACTGTGAAAAAGTATTGACATTTTCTTTTCCTCTTGGAAAATCTGCACTCATAGAAAAATGGATAAAATTCATTAATCATATTGATTGGTTTTCTACAAAATTTCAGTTCTCTGAAACATTTTGAAGATAAATTTATTTTGAAAGGAAAATGAAACAAATTGAATTGGGATTTACATCCAATACCTACAATACATTCGAAAAAAAAAAAATAAGAAAAATGTCTCTTTTGCTGAATACAAGGGAATTCAGAAAGCCTCCAAAATGACTGCTGGTCCAAGCTAAGGAATTACATGATTTTATTTCAGCTGATACGATTAAGGATTTTACTCAATTGGAAGAAGCAAAATGTTGTTCTAATGGTTTTGAATTTTAAAAAAAAGGAAGATTATATTCTAATTTATAGAATAGTCTTTGATCCTGAAATACATTTTCCATCTATAAAAGAATGCATTGACCAAAACTTTCACATCCAGACCCATTGTGATGGAACCCCTATACCATTACCATAGTGGTTTATAAATGGGCATAATTCCAAAATTTAGCATTTTAGAAAAATTTCCAAATGACATACAAAAATATGGTTGAAGAACATCCATACTCAATTCTAAAAGAATTACAAAAAGAAAACATCACCAACCAAGAGGTCATCCTTCATTTTCTGCAGAACTAATATGTTATCCCTTACTACTGAGCTATATATCTCAACAAGCCTACAAATTACTTCTGAAGTTTCTTGTAGACCAGGTTCTGGACGGTCACGGAGTAAAGAAGCTCACCAAGAATGACGCAACACAAATCAGTAAGTGTGGCTTCAGTAGTGTCAGCAGAAATCAGTGGAAATCCTTTACTTGCAGCAATATTAAGGGAATGCATACCTCTAGCTATACCTCTCAGTAAATCCCAATACCATTGTGTACATCTCCGGTAGTGTTGCGAGAAGTTAACTGTCGTGTTCAGTGATGAGAGCATGTGTCTTTATTCAGGTAATATGTCGTTTTCGTGTGCGACGTAAACTTGAAGAGCAATATTTTCCAGGATGTGTTCGCCCACGACACACAATCTTAATTTCTGACATCATGCTGTGTGACACCATAAATTACAATACTCATTCGCTTTTGGTTTTTGTGGATGTCAATTGGACCCGAAATAATATTGGAGTTTGAAATGTCGTCTTTTTAATGACTTTGGAGTTTGAAGTGCCGTTTTTTAAATGGCTTTGGAATTTGAAGTGTAGTTTTTTTAATGGCTTTGGAGTTTGAAGTGTAGTTTTTTTCTTTAATGGTTTTGGAGTTTGATGTGTCGTTTTTTTAATGGCCGAAAGATAAAGAAGTTTTTGAAGTCTGGCG